GTACATATTTTTAAAGATAACTGTAAATAAATTTTCCTATAACAGTATTGCATCCAATTGGTACATTAACAATAATTAATATTCTACTTAGATTAAGGGTAATCTCAGTTCGTTTTGACCACAATATATTGGCATATCGGTAGCAAAAGCAAAAGTGAACAGAGTGCTTGAAGGTGTTAGAAAAGTAGACGCTAGCATATTTACTGGCGTTAGCGGTAACAAAAGGTCGAGGTATACAGAGTGTGAGAGAACGAAGAAGAATGTTTTGAGTTTGTAAGTAAGAGAGAAACAAAACAGCACATAACAGAAACAAAGAGAAGAGGAAAAGAAAGAAAGAAAACGTTGTACCTATAAATGATATGAGTTGGAGAGACGAGAGTACCTCAGGGAACTGTACTTGGTCCCCTGCTATTCCTATTATACATAAATGAAGTTCCGAAAATTCCTACCTCATCTTCCTCACTGTTCGTGGACGATATTAAGATATGGAAAACCGTAAATGGTAGCGATGATAGGTTGGTACTACAAAACGATCTGTTGCGTGCGTTGTCTGACTAAACTGCCGTACACATTTATTCTAGCATTCCTTCGTTCTTATTCATGTGCGCAGACGTTGTGGCTACTCGACGCCCACAACGTAAATCAAAAGGCACTTTCAAAGAGTACGATCGTGTATTGTAGCAGTAGTCAAATTGGAAATTGTGTCAAGGTAATATTCAACAGTAAAATGACAAATGTTTGCGAAGTACATATAAAATCGGTCTGTATACACATATAATACAAGTATTAGATTAAAAAGCATGTTTACAGTTGGTATAGGGGTACTACAGATCTAGACAAATTAGCCGAATGGGCTAAGCTTTGGAGTCAGGAAGTTAGTTCCAAGAAAAGCGCAGTAATGCACCTAGGTCAGAAGTCTTACACATCGTACTCCATGGGAGACACAGAACTTCCAGATGTTAGGGAAGAAAAGGACTTAGGAATTATTGTTAGCCATGACTTAAAAACAATGGCAAACTCTAATCGAGCCGCAGCTAAGGCTTTTTGAATGCATTGGGCACTTGGAAGGGCTTTCAAGCGATTAGACGAGGGTATGTTCCAAGTACTCTGTGCAACATATGTCAGGCCTCATCTAGAGTACTGCATAGAAGTGGCGAGTCCGTGCTTCAGAAAGGAGGTACATGTTCTGGAAAGAGTACAGAGGGCAGGAACGGAATTAGTTAGTGGTATCTCACACCTTCCTTATGATATGAGGATGGAGCATTTAAATCTCTTCCCATTATCGTACCGAAGGAGCAGAGGTGACTTAATTTTGGCTTACCGTATATTCAAGGGTGATTTAGGGATTGACCTTTCAAACCTTTTCTCTCCACCTAGGATACATTTACGGGGTCACCAGAAGAAGGTGCTCAAACCGAGGTCGAATAAAATACGGTTGGAGTTTAGATCCTCTCACAGTGTGGTCAACGACTGGAACTCCTTACTTGATTCCATAGTAACAGCTCCACTGGTGAACGATTTCAAAGAGAAACTGGATCTCTGCAGAGATATCAATTGCGAGGATTAACATAGGCAACAAGAGCCTTCTATCCCTATAATCTGTAACTGATTATTGACTAACTTGATGTACACTCCCACCACTTTAGATTTCCGATCCAGATTTGTTGATTGAGGATAGAGGGCTTAGAGCCTATGTCAGTCTCTTTCTAGTAAATTTCTTTGCTTGTCCAAACGCTGCATATACCACCTCTTTTGAGAGCCGATTCCAGGAGTGTGTGACTCGGTGTGATAACCAGTACTCCACAGTAATATGGTTTCTTCTTGGCTTCTGAACTCTCCTGCTATTTCCTCTTAGGTGTTCCGACCTGGTGGGAAGGGAAAGAGAGAATAGGTCAGGTTCGTAGTCATTATTTAAAATTTTAAACATTGTAACTAAATCTCCTCTCTGCCTGCTGTATGACAGGGACGACGAGATTTAGACTGTATAGTCTTTCCTCGTATGATAATTTAGTCACGCTGAAGAAAATACATGTTGCCTTTCTTTCCAAAACATGTGGGTCCTTCTGGGATTTCCACGAAGAAGCCCATACCTAGTCAATGGCAGAACACCTTTGTTTGGGTGATTCAGGTCATTTGTTATCTTTTCGTCAGTAATCAAGTCCCACTTGAGCCGACGGTACCTAAGTGAGAATAGGCCTAATTTCTTTAGCCGTCCATCATACAGTTTGTTTCGGAGACCCATCACCCCTCTTATCACCCGTCTTTGGACTCTTTCAAAAAGGTTCGTGTCATTTCTAAGCAACGGGGGGGGAATGAAATTGTGTACTTTAAGGTATGGTCTGGTGTATGTTTTGCACAACCTTAGAAAGAGCTCAGTAGTGAGTGCACCTAACTGTCTATGTGTAAAGTGCATGACCACATATGTCCTCGCTACATCCCCTGTGTAATTTACACTTGTGTCCATTTTTCCGTTAGAACTAGACCTAAGTCACGCTCCGACGTTGTGCAGGAAAAGTTTTCGTTGCACAGGGTGTAACTTACATTCTGCAGCCTACTTTTTAAGGTTGAAAGTCATGCCACTGGCCACCGCCCAGTCTTCCAGAAGCTCTGGGTCTGCCTGTAGTCTATCTGAGTCTTCCGAACACTTTATTGCTCTCCAAATCTTTGCGTTATCAGTGTCCAAGTCAAATGGTCTTATATTGAATCCTTCCAAATGTCAGGTGCTTGACTTTACTTTCAAGCATCGACGTGACTTACTTGAACTAGTTAACTCTCATGATCCCTGTAGCATAGATGGCACGGAAATTGAAACCAAGTCAAGCAGCATTAAATACCTTGGACTAGTTTTTTCCTCTGACCTTTCATGGTCATCCCATATCTTATCTATCTCTAAGAAAATGTTTCGTCTTACCTTCTACATTAAAAAGTTAAGACAATCAGGTATCAACCAACCTTTAGTTTTGCAATTTTTAAACTCCTGTATTTTACCTATTGTACTCTACTGCTCTCCATTAATCTTTCCTGGGCTTCTCAAAAAAGATTATATCATATTACGAAGAGTATTAAATGCTGTGAGTAGAGCTTGTGGTCTGCCACTGCATGAGCTCGCTAATACTATAGTCGAGAGGCATATAAATTCCTGTACGAAATGGGCAAAGGCTATAATGTCAGACCCTCTGCACCCCCTTTATTCACACCTGTCCCCTTGTATCTCATCAGGTAGGACGAGAAGTCAATATAAAAAGATATATGCTCGTACTACTAAGTATAGAAATTCTACAATACCCTATTTAGCGCGTACTTTATGTGACGAAGACTCTGTTAGAAGTGAAACTTACAAGTTACTATGTAATTAGCACAGTGAATCGACCCTTTTATCGCTCATCTTTCTGTATTTTATGGTGTTACACTTTCTATCGTTTAAATCGTTACTCTGCTATTTTATATTAGTTGGTATTACTATTATTACTACAATTTTGTACTTTATACATATTTTTCTCCGTATGGCACACAGTATTTTGCTACGTAGCTGCTACAACAATCGTTTTATTACTATTATGTATTGTGTATTTTTAATTTTTTTTTTGTCGTTTTTGGGTAAGTTAGATGCAATATTGTACTGAATGCTGAAAATTCCTTGCTGTAACATGAGTACTGTCTCTGATGTGGTTTTGTTCTCTGAGCTGGATGGTTAGTTTGCGAAGCTTTCATCACCTTACTGGGTGACATCTTCAGCGCATACTTCAATTTGAAGTGAGCTTTTAGATTTCTCCACGAGTTTATTAATCATCTCTCCTGGTGACCTTGGACGTGATTGGTTGTTTGCGTGTGTTTTCACACCTTCTAGGTAACCTAGAAGGTGGAGAAATCTAAAAGCTCACTTCAAATTGAAGTATGCGCTGAAGATGTCACCCAGTAAGGTGATGAAAGCTTCGCAAACTAACCATCCAGCTCAGAGAACAAAACCACATCAGAATCATCCACCTGAGCTACAAATCTTCTCTATAATACCATGAGTACTGTTTTTGGAATAAAGCAATTATTATTATTATTATTATTATTATTATTAAAAGAAGAGTCAGGCAGCTTAGACGGCCTGATAGGTCATTGGTAGAAATCAAAACCACCAGTGGCTTTAGGGTAGAGCATTGCACACTTCTCATGATGAGCTAAGCCAGGATGATCGGACTTAATTACGTTAGGGAAAAATTCCTTTTCAGCTAGGTAGTCTTTCAACCATGACAGAAGTGGCTCACCTTTTATTTATTTATTTTTTATTTAAACGCATAAAAACTTGGTACAATATGGCACCTAGAAGGATGCACCACACAATAATAATAAAACAACACAGATCATAAGAAAAAAAGGAAGAAGAGAAGTATATATGTATGTATATGTATATAAGTAGAGAACGGATAAAGAACTTCTTCTGGAAGGAAAACAGTCATGCTTAACAAGTTCAAACAGTATTCGTTAACTATCATCGGGAAGGGAAGAAAGAAGGAATTTGCAACACGTGTAGTAGCACGCGATAAGTTTCATTGATTGTTTGTTGCTTCATTCAATTCACCTATACCTGCCTGACTTATTTTGTGTAGGAGAAGGTCATGGTGAACTGTGTCCAATGCCTTCTCGAAGTCTAGGAAGACCACATGGATTGGAATATTCATATCCCAACATGTTGTCCAATCGTTCCAGGCTGATAGTAGGTTTATTAAACAGGATATGCCTTTCCTCAAACCATGTTGTGCTTCATGGAGTCCACTGGTCCCATCGAGGTGCTCCCTGATGTGATCACCAATTATACTTTCCAGTACTTTTTATACCACTGAGAGTAGCGCTACTAGTCTGTAACTGGTGGCATTTCGCCTGTCCCCACCCTTGAAAATAGGAGGAAGGGTGGCTGTTTTCCACTCCCTTGGCAGTTTCCCCGAATCCATCGAATGTTGGAACAAGTCTCATCAGGGCCTACAGAGAGCTTCGGTGCACTGTTTCCGAAC